TCTCTCTCTCTCTCTCTCTCTCTCTCTCTTCTCGCTTCCCTCCCTCTCTCTCTCTCGCTTTCCCGCTCTCTCTCTCTCTCGCCTAATATTTGTATCTAGAACTTCTCGCTTTAACCACACACAATGTACACACACACACATACAATACACTCACCGCACGCACACCAACTGCGCACGGACACACACGAGGTACATGGGAGTTATCACCTGCAGTCCAGCAGTGCTACTGATAGCTAGCTAGCTGTCAGCTTCAGTCAGCTTCAGTCAGCCCTGGCAAGCATCGATATCGTCCGCATACCAGTCACTAGCTACATCGCAGTTTCCGAATTCCTTCTCCGCGGGGGTTCGTTCGATGTGATGTGTGCGCGTCTCGTTTGTTTATTAATGATGGGCTGGCAGAAATATAATGTCTACTCGGGCTTCGTTACCGGTGTACCTAGGTTTCTTTCCCTCCAGCCCTGACCGATATCCCCCGCTCTATCTAGTCCCTGTGACACCCTCACCCCTTCACTCAGTCCCTGCCTCACTCTCATCCATTCACCCAGTCCCTGCTCCATCAAGCCTTTACTCAGTCCCTGCACCCATCCTCTCCCTTCTATGCAATCCCTGCCCCACCATAATCTCTTCACGTTGTTCCTGTCCCCCCTTAAACCTGCCATCCAGTCTTTGCCCCACCCTCATGCCTTCACTCAGTCCCTGCCCCACCTTCACCCCTTCACGCTGTCCCTGCCCCAACCTAAATCCACCATCCTGGTGATCCAGTCTTTGCCCCACTCTCATCCCTTCACCCCATCCCTGTCCCATCCTCCTCTCTTCTATCCAGCCCCTCTCCCATCTTCTCCCCTTCTACAAGTCCCTCTCTACAAGTCCCACTGTACTTCTACTTCATCCTTGCGCTCCTCTCGCCTAGCCGGCCAGCGAATTCATTATTCCCTACACGTTATATCCATTGCAGAGTTTTGGGCTGCTCTGATTGGCTGCTTTGATTCGCTTTGACTCAACCATAGGACTCAACAAACCTTCAAAACAAGGTAACAAACGCCATTTGTAAATATTTGTTATGGTTTATGATCGGTAGATAAGTAAGTTTTGATTTTGATTTGCCATAAGCCGGCCATAAGAAAAACACCCCTCGGTGTGCTTTCCTATACGAACCAGCAGCAAGCACTTTAAATCAACTTATCAAAGTTGCGGAGGCAATCACCTCCGCTTGGGCTGAAGAAGACTGGCGAACACTTCATTGACGCGCATGAATAATTGAAACCACAATCTCATCGGCTACATATAAATTAATATAACGAGTAGAAATCCATGCGAGTGCCAGAACATCGAGTGCCGGAGAGCGGGAGATACGCGAAGGAGATATTCTCGAGTTAGTACAGTTGAAAAGGTTTAAGAATATTAGTACATCGGAATGTGAATAATCTGATGTACATTAGCGTGCAGGGATGGTAGGTGAGAGGGAGGGTGGGGACGCAAGGATGGTAGGTGAGAGGGAGGGTGGGGACGCAGGGAACAGAAACAAATATTTAAGTTACTCTCTAAGTTCTAACTGTCTGCATCATTTCCTTTGCCCTTCTCTCTCTCTCTCTCTCTCGCTCTTTGCTTCCCTAACTTTTCGTTTCACTATTCCCATCCCTGCGCATACCCCATTTCATTCTTTCTAGCCTTCCCCAACCCTCCCTCTCACTCTCACACCCTCCCCCTTACTCTCCCTATCCCTCTCCCTCCTCAACCCCATTTCATTCTTTCTAACCTTCCCCAACCCTCTTCTTATTCCCCCCATCCCTCCCAAACTCTTTCTCTTACGCTCTCGATCCCCCCCGTACCCTTCCTCTCACTCTCCCTATCCCTCTCCCTCCTCAACCCCATTTCATTCTTTCCAACCTTCTTCAACCCTCTTCTTATTCTCCCCTTCCCTCCAAAACTCTTTCTCTTGTATGCTCTCGATCACCCCCGTACCCTTCCTCTCACTCTCCCTATCCCCCAACCCCTTTTTATTCTCGCCATCCTTCCCCCAACCTTCCCTTTTATTCCCTCGATCGCTCCCACACCCTTCCTCTCACTCTCTCCATCCTCCCCGTCGCTCCTCTCACCCTATCTCCCTGAATCACCGACCCTCCCCCTTGTCGGTTGCCTCTTCTCTCCTCCTGAACTAATTAATATTCACGGCTTCTCCCCCTCTCCCCCTCTCCCCCTCTCCCCCATGCATCACACCGAGAGCGTGTTATGTATAATAATAAATTATTATCATTAATTATGTATTCTTTATTAATTCTTTATTAATTTATTATGATCACGCTCATCGGGTGCGACTGCGTGTTTGCAGTTGGGCTTAAAGTAAAGTGTTAAGTGTTAGGTTAACTTTTCAAGTTCATGAAAGGCGGCGTGTATCCAAACAGCTCGCGTCGACAGTGACTCACACCCGTGAACTCTGTGCTCCCCCCTTCTCTCTCTCTCTCTCTCTCTCTCTCTCTCTCTCTCTCTCTCTCTCTCTCTCTCTCTCTCTCTCTCTCTCTCTCTCTCTCTCTCTCTCTCTCTCTCTCTCTCTGTGTGTCTCTCTGCTCTCACTCTCTCCTCGTCTGTCTCGCTCACACTCTCGCTCTCTTTCTTTCTTTCCGTATTTAACCCTTGCTTCATTGAACCACTTATTTAAAAGCACGGCATCGTGTAAGCGTCCGTTGATGCTACTACTACTACTACTACTCTCTCTATTTCTCTCTCTCTTTCTCTAATACGTCTCGTGAGATACCCGCAGATCTCTCGATCACTAGTCTTATCACATATGAGGCCATTCCACGCCACCAACTGTTCACAAGCATCTTCGCATGCACAGAATAAAAATCTCACACGCTCAAGCAAACTCGCTTAATTATTAAGTTCGCGTTATTAATTATTATTAACATCGCTTAAGTATTAAGTTGAGTAAAGAGTAATTAAGAACATGCTAATTATAAGAGGACGCGTGGCACATAGGTTAATATATATAACTCGCACTAATGTAAAGGTACTGTAGCACATGTTTTACAAATGTAGTCTTGACAAGCTAGAATACCAGGAAAATTGGTTTCAAGGTATTAGTAGCACAACGCTGCGGTTTTCCGGCAGTTTCTTATTTTGTAATAAAGTGTTAGACGAGCGGGCGTATCGACGTCTGTGGTGAAGTCTTATTCTGAGCATTGCGGGTCGTTTAACAGTAAGCCAGTAAGCTGTTAATCGGTATTGCGCCGACGTTTCTAGGATGAGAGAGACGGTTAAAGGTGTCGGATGTCGGACCGGAGAAAATGAGGAAGTCGGGGAGTCGGTGGGAGGTCGTGCATGGTCGCGCAGACAGTTTGGTGCGCGTGGTTTTAAAATAATATTTATTTGGCTCTAGGTCTACACAACTCTATGATTTTCTACTCTAAATCCTAAATTGTATTATATATACACTCTGGTCTAACAACCCACATACAGTACTGTCGCATTTAGGAAACGTTATTTGTACTAACAACAACAACAACATTAACAACAACTAGCGTACGATTAGGAAGTTTCGACATTCGATCAACAATGCGACTATTAGACTACATTATAACTATAGGTGTATGGATCTGGGGAGCATTCAACGAAAGCTACGAAGTGAGTATGTCTGATGTTTAATGTTACTATAGGCGAGCATCACGTAGATTGCGGGCATTAAACTAACTCCCTGCAAACTATAGTCACGCTACGAGTTCCCGGAACACAGATGATCAGTTACATTGAGAAATATCAGGTAAAATCAGCGGCAAAGTACAGTACAGTACAGTACAGTACAGTACAGTACAGTACAGTACAGTACAGTACAGTACAGTACAGTACAGTACAGTACAGTACAGTACAGTACACTAACAGTATAGTACAATTATATACAATGCTATATTATAGTAAAACGCACCACAGTACCAACAACAATACACAGTGAATCAAGTGCTTGCTAAAAAACAAGGCCGCTCTACAAAAGAGACACTAAACTACAATACAAATCCACCGAAGTACACGCCAGATATTACAGCTAGACT